GGCTATGAGTACTGTTGACTAGTTCAGGCAAAAATTTAAATTCTACATTATTTACCAATACGACTTTCTTTCTCACATGGAACACAAAAGGAGAAATTTTGAACAGCGCACTAGCTTTCAGACGCAATAAACAATGTCTTTCAAGCTGCAAAAAGACAAAAGAACCATAACAAATCATTCAAGTTTAACATATTATCTTCCCCTCCTGTCACTCCGACCAGATAATTGAGTGAGCTACAATAAGTCTGATTTATTGAATGGATCAGAATAAAAAAAAAAATTGTATTTGTTCATTCAGAAATTGCTCACAAACACACCAAGTAGAGCTATGGCAGCTTTCACATGGTTTGCACTTTGCAGTGAATAACAGTGAAAACTAATTTTTTAATTTCAGTCTGTTCCTCACAACAATCTAACGTATGACTTGTAGGACTTGGAATATACTCCATAAGTAATATGGACTAAATTTATGGTCATTTTTTACTGCTTCTGCATCTTTTTTGATGTTCAAAGCCTTGCAGATAATAAGAGAATTGTCATTTTTGGGTGAACTATTGCTTTGAACATGAGTGCGGTGCTGCTGCTTCTCTGCATGTGTAAATCATATGTGTCAGACTAGATGAACTGGCTGGTGCAAAGTGTAGCGTGACTGTGACGGCGTGAATGAAGATCTGTGTCACAGTCAAATAACTTAGAAAGTCTTAGAAAACAACAACCTGGTGTAATCTAACTTCATTAGGGATCATTAGGAATCCACGGATCATTAGGAAGCTTTTTTACAGGAAACCTTGCATAAATATATGGTAAAATGAACATTACAATTGATGTATAACAAACTAGAAATGCTGTTCCCCAAAGTTGCAAAATTGATTTCCATGCAAATACTTTGTCTGATGGGTGGAACCCAAGCCTGTGCTCACAAAGATATCATAATCTTCCTCAAAACATGCTGTATAACATATCACCCAGCTAAAATCACATTAAAATGCACCACATTAAAATAATGAATGTTTTACAATTCAGACAAAAAGGTGATCAAAACTCATGAGGGAATCAACCTACAAACAAAACTTTTTAAAGCTGCAGTCCGTAGCTTTTTTTGGGTTAAAAATTATCCAAAATACATATTTGAGAAAATACATAACCAGCCAGTGTTCAAAACTATCTGCTTGCCTTAGCTCGATTCAAAGCGGTAAGCTTGTAATAATATTTTTAATTCCAGTGGTACTGGTGGATTTCCGCGGGAAATTCGAGCATGTCTTTGCGTCATTACGTCACATCTGTACACATAAAGAAGGAGTCTCGGCTAGTAGGCTATATTGCGTGTGAGGATGTTGGAGGTGGAGATTTATAGCCTTTTCTCACAGCACTTGATATTATTAAACTTATTAATTTGATGGCGGATCCAGAAAGGTTCAAACGACGATCACCAGTGACAACTAGAGATTCACCCGCTGTAAAATGCAAATGCAAAAGACTTTGTTCGGACTTCGGAGTGGCTAACGTTACAGAAAAAAAGAGACTGCAACCGGACCCATGCGAAAACAAGGATACATATCGGAAGGACATTCCATGTAGTCACGCAATGCTGACGATGTTAACATTAACAATTTGAGAACAAAGTATAATTTGCACGGTTTTGCGTGATATGATAACTTATAAGCGATTGTTAGATTTAATCAGCACGATTTACTGCAATATCAGAATCAGAACAAAGGTGGATGTTTCTTACTAGTTCAGATGACATTTTCTGGTGAAAATGCTTATGTTGGTCATACTTCCAAAAAGAATAATCTGTGATTCTGAATGACAGTATCCACACCGGCGCGGTGATTAACAGCCTCACAGTCTACTCAAACATTGTGTTCATCCGCGCTGTGCCGTGTCGAGGGTGTTGAAGTACAACTCACGTAAAGTTGATAATTCCGCGAACGACTGCAATTGCAGATTTCGAACAGAGATGGCGACAAATAGGAAAAACGCCGGACTGCAGCTTTAAGGGACTGAAAAAAGTATTTTATTTTATTGTTTATTTTTATGTGCACATAAAGACACATTTCAAAACTATATGAATCTGTCACACTGATTTGCTACCATAAACTCAAAATACCAAACCATCCCCAAAAGACTGTGACCTGTGGCATTGTTATGATACAATAATATAACTCTGAATGCGGAGGAACTCTGTTGTGGTAAAGTTGATGATGCGTCACTGTGAAAGTACTGACTATTGCAGTTGATAATATTCCACTGAGAATAAATAACTATGGGGGATATGGTTGAAACACACTGTCCTTCTCTTTTTAGCTCTCATATTGAGATGTCATTAATATCTGTCAAGGCTATAAATAGAGATCTAGAGTATAAGGAACACACCACCAGGGAGAGAAGAACTAGAGATTGCAAAACATGGGAGAACATGGTGTGTGAGATATACTATAAAATTAAATATAATTATAAAAAATGTGCTTGTTGATCTGACTCGAAACACCCTGGTCCGATGGTAAGCATTCAAGAACATTTTTCAGGCTTACCTTGAAGTAGCCCCCTTCATAAAGTGTGTTTGGAGGGCCAAAGATGGCCACCTCCCAGTTGTAGAGGTCCGACTCTTCCACCAGAGTGATGCGGAAACCTTCCACTGGCTCCTCCTGCAGGGATTTCAGCTCCAGCATCAGAGCCTTCTGAGAGCTCGGCATCTGCTGGTGTGCCATGACAGTCCCGATCGTTCAGCCTTACTGTGGATTCAAAGAAAATGTTTTTTTTTTTTTTACATAATAATTTATTATTTTATAGGGTTTTTTTTTTTAGCAATTCTGTTATGACAACAATAATGTCATAATATCTTGCTGCTCAACTCATTATTTATGCATAGTGGTATTAACAGAGGTATTACTGCTAAAAATATATATACAGTGTACACACACAGACATATATATATATATATATATATTATTATTATTATTTTTTTCACACATTATGTAAACATCATAAACTTTTGTTAGATGCGATTAATCGATTTGACAACACTAACATATATATATATATAGAGAGAGAGAGAGAGAGAGAGAGGGGAGAGAGGTAAAGAAATAGCACAAGGAAAGAAAAAAACAAAAACACTTGTTTACAAATTTATGATTAGATTAGTAAGTAAGTAATAAATAAAAACGTTTATAGACTGTTCATTACCAGCGCAGCTCCCCAGGAAATGTGATGTTGAGTTCCTTAAACTTCCAGCTTCATGTAAATATTAATACGGTGCTGATATTTATTTATTCCTTGGGGCCCAGAAGGGATTGTAAACCTCAATTTTCCTTTGTTATTTCTCGAATCCTGTTGCTTTTCCTGTTAGTCGTGAGGTTGTCCAGTCTTCAAGCAGAAATAAAGATAAATCAATCAATTTATCGCCCTTACAAACAGTAAAAAATAAAGCAGCCGTTTGTTCTGTATCTGTTGCTGCCCGCAATGGAGGTGAAGGCGATGGGTCGGGAGTTGTCCTCGTGTATTGCCCTAACGTCTAAAAACTCTACAGCATGCAAAATAGACCTCTAAATTCGCTTTATGTGATGCAGAATATGTTAGTCAAACCCTGCAGGTCGCTGTCATCACGCCGTTTCGTTGCGGGTCTTCGGCCGCACAGCTGATCAGCTGCTTGTTTACATTTGTTCTGGTGCGAGGCTTCAACGCACCTTCAAAACCCCCCGTTTGCGCACAGAATTACACTGCAAACTCTGCTTTATCCGTCCAGACCGACTCGACAGCGAATTAACGTAATGGTATGGGTGTTATGGTAATGGGATATGGAGATTAAAGAGAGCGCAGAGCGCAGTAGAGAAACATATATGAACGATATCGACAGGTGATGATTTCTTTCGCCGTTTCTCAATCGCGTCTATTGATGCTTCCGGTTATCACAGTGCGTGCCTGAACACGTCTTTACGCGTGTGCGTCATGACGCAAGACACTCAACTGTAAATACACTTTTAGGCCTGGTTTCACAAACAGGGTTTAGATTATGCCAGGTATTCCTTAGTTCACTTAGGATATTTAAGTAGCTTTTATAAACGTGCCTCTAAAGAAACCATTACTGGTGTGTGCATGTTGAGACAAAGCATTGTCACTCTCATATTTTAAGATATGTCACTGCTAGTTATTTTCAGTTAAAACATCTAAAAAAAAAATTAGTCTGGGACTAGGCTTAACCCTTGTCTGTGAAACTTGGGGTTAGTGTTATTAAGTCTTCATAGTACAGTCCCATAGAGTTATGTATTACATATGTAGCCTACACATCATATGTTATGCATTCTTCTTACATAGTAGTGTACATATAATTATACACACAATAAGGATGATATACAGGCCAACATAGTAAGGTTTTTTTAAAGGGAATTTTATTTTATACCCCCTACTTTTCCATTTTAATCTTGTTTTTTATTAGTAGTATTTTTAAAATCTATATTACTTTCTTACGTTTACATACTTAAATCGACTAACTATTCACCCCTTAATTCCAATTTATATATATATATATATATATATATATATATATATATATATATATATATATATATATATATATATACTGACAAGTTTAACAAGATTAAAATAGAAAAGTAGGGGGAATAAAATAAAATTCCCTCAAAAAAGCCTATGTTGGCCTGTATATCATCCTTATTGTGTCAAAATAAGCTACTTTGCATAATGTCTATTTAATTAGTTTTTTTGGTATGAGTTGATCAGCTACATCAGTTGATGTAGCCTGATGGATGGATGGATAGAAAAAACTGATCTACTTTTTGAAAGTGTATGGACAACACACAGATGATCTATTTTATCAATGTTTTACTTAATGGTTATAGCAGTTCACTAACCAACAATATCCAACAAACTAAAATAGATCAAAACATTCCTTTTCAAACCCGTGCTAAACCCATGTGCAAAGTCCGACACAGATGACGTCTCCTCAACTGCTCCTCGCTGATTGGTCGAATCTGTAATCATTCAGTGGCAACGCATGTCGTCACACAGGAACCGAAGGAGGCGGTCAAACCAAGATGGCGTTCCGCGATGAAGCAGGAAATATACTCGGTTTTCAGTAAATCTCCTCATTTGAGAGCGTCGACCGGAGCTTGTATGTCCGAGGAGAAGTGAGAGACTTATTCGGAGACTGAAGACAGAGCAGATATTGGTAAGGACACCGGTGGGACGCGCAGGGACAGTTTGAGGGGCGGTGGCAGAGGAAGTCGGGCCCTGTTAGGTCGCTTCACTAACCTGAACTGAAACACAACTAGACAGTTGTTTTTAACCAGATGTACACGGTCATTTCTCTGCTTCTCTAGTTATTAAGTACCACATCTTTGTTTTTAGATCATAAATCTTTTCGTTATTTGATTGACATGTCAGATCGAAAAGAGAAAATCGTAGTAGCTTGGTAAGAAGCCAGGAACAAATATGTGTCATCATCCAGTTTCAATATAAATCAACTTCGAAAGATTCTCTCATCAGTAATGTTACATCTAAAGGTTTATTGTTGAAGTTAAACTGGTTTTGGACTCATCTAGCTTGCTGTCTGTATTAATTTTTCATTTCATTTCAAATAGTACGCAACAAATCTGTTGACTGTAGTTAACAGACGATCAGCTGTTATGCTTTTTTATGTAAGACATCATGGCTGGTGAAATGACTTCAAAACCGGTTTTATCAGCATGTGATACAGTTTTGGGGTAGTTCCCTCCCTGGTTATCATGAAGTAGATTGTCAGTTGTCAGTTGGGCTTAGTTTATTGAAATGTTTTAGTTTGTACACTTCCTGAAAATGTTGAAGCTTGTGTGTTTACAGTTTCAAAAGAAAATCCAAGCGATGCTTGTAACTTAATGCTGTTTGGACTATGCTTTGTTTTCTAGTGATCTGACAATATTTTTTTTGTGTTCGACACTATCCGATTACCAATATGCAGCCATTTTTTAAAATCATTTTGACGTATTCAAATCATTCGACAACAACGAAAACATGCCCTAATATGCATTGTTGTTGTTGTTTTGTATTTCTTTCCATATTTTTTTGGGAATGGATAACTGGTAAACTTAAACGGTATGCATTTTACACTTGAGAATACATGTTATGTAAATATACAAAAACACATTATTAGAGTAAAAAAAAATAAAAAATCTTTTATTCAGTCAGGACTCATCAAATTGTTTAAAAGTGCAAGTAAATATTTTTTTTTACAAAAGATTTTATTTCAAATTCATTTTCTTGTTTTGAACTTTCTATTCATCAAACAGTCCTAAACAAAGTATCACTTCTGTTTTCATCATTCAACAATAACAGTTTTGCCATCAGGGGAATAAATTTAATCTTAAATTGTAACAATACTTCATGATATTCCTGAATTTGCTGTATTGTAATCAAATAAATACAGTCCTGGCCTGAAAAAAAAAAAGACTTTCAAAACCAGTTTCAGAATTGTACTGACACCAAACTTTTAAACAGTAGTGTATAATGTAGGTTAAACGTTTTTCCATTGGTTATGACATAGTTTCAATTTAGTTTGTGTAATTCTTTATATTTAAGACCAATAGTAAGATTACTGCAGCTCTTAACGTTGAATTTAAATAGCATATTTCATTAGAGTCTTAAATCTCTTTAGTATTGTGTTGGCATAATCACTCACAACCAAGCAATTCTGTTGTTATCTTAAGCAATATAATTCTAATTCTGTCTTCCTTATACTTCTCAGGAAATTGTAACAAAGTATAACCAAAAGATTTTCTCAAACCTTGCTTGTTATGTGATATTGGATATATATATATTGTAATTTCTTATGTTAAAATAGTAACTTCTGTAAAGAAAATCAAAGTACAAGGAAGTGGAAAATAGGTAACTGTCCTCAGTTTGTGTGAATTTATGTTGTTTGTTTATTTCTTTAGTTACTCTAAATGGCTGCGAGGAAGTCTGGATCAGATATCCACAACAACGGTGAGTCAGACAGCCAATCAGCTGTCATGACTGTTTATTATATTTTAAAAAGACAACAAAATTAGAAATACAACATTTAAATGACTAATTTTAACTCATTTGGTTTCCTTGTTCTTCTGTTACTTGATGTTTCAAGGACCCGTCAGCTACCTTGAGGATGTTCCCTTCAAGCTCAATGAGAAATTCCGCTGTCCCTCAAAAGTGGGTCTTCCAATGGGCTTCTCTTTGTCCGACTGTAATGTCAAACTCTTAGATCTCCAAGTAAGTCGGATTTTCCCTCTAACTTTCCATCATATAAGTGTTTTGTCAGAAATAATGAATGCTTTGCTTTTACTCCAGTATGACTTCAGTCTGGAGCGACGGAGCGTTCAGTGGGGGGAGGAGCTTGCCAAAGCACGAGCCGCCGAAGCACGAGCGGCGGAGGTCGCCCAGGTGGACTCTGAAAATGAAAGGCAGGCTGCTGCTCAGGATGCAGATGTCGGATTGGTTGGGGGGAAGAAAGCCCGCCCCTCTGATGAGCAGGACGTTCTCCCACCAGCTTTGAACCCGGTTTTAGCTGGCCTGTGGCACAACGCAATCCTTACGCCTCTCCCAGCCCCCTCTTTTGGACTGACGCGACCAGCACCTAGCAACCCGGCCCCGCAGTGTCTGAACTTAGCTGACTTTGAGCGAGAGGAGGACCCTTTTGACAAACTTGAGCTCAAGACACTGGACGACAAAGAAGAGTTGCGAAATATCCTGCAGAGTCAACCGCAGTCCGTTTCACCTCCTCAGCTTCCTCCAGCTGAAAATCGCCCCACTTCTCCAAGTACTACGCCTCCTCTTCAGGCCAAAGCGGGAATGTTCCATAAACCCAATGGACTGGTTGGACTGCTGGACTTAGAACGGGGTGGGGTTGTGGGGACCCCTCTGGGACAGATTGATGCCGACCGCCCATGTAATATTCGCTCACTGACTTTCCCTAAGCTTTCAGACCCAGGAGACTCCCCCTCAGAACCTCCTCTCAGCGTTTACCCACCACGCAGTCTGTCCAACGGCATGCCACCATCCCTGCAGAGAACAGCATCCAATACCAACACGACACTCCCCCAAGAGCAACCTGTCTATGCTCAGAATGGAACAACGAAGCAGGTATTGTAAAATAGATGAAAACATTTGCATTTCAGTGCTGATTGTTAGCATGTAAAATAGTCAACCCAGGTTCAGTGGAAAAACACGAATGTGACGACATTTCTGCAAAATTATTTTACGCAGTTTCTTGCATGTTATCTCCAGTGAGTGGCGCTAAACGCGTGTCCAGTTTTATCTGAAACCCATGAACTTGAATCTGGCAACGTTTTATTTCATTGCTGCTTGTACGTATCGAAGTGAGTGATGCTTAATCGCATTTGAAAATAACATAGCCCCTACACTGAACCCTACCCTAAACTTATCCGATAGTGTTAACAAAAGCAAACGTGAGACATCAAAGTATTTGCTAAAGCAACCATGCTGTTTTAGCTTGCTTTGGGATCTTTTTCATGACTCGTTTCACTTGAATCAAATGGTAGCTGACTAGCTGTACCAGGTGAGCTACTGAGGTGATTCAACAAGGTGCTGAAAGCATTCTTTAGAAATGTTGGCCCATATGGATAGGATAGCATTTTGCAGTTGATGGAGATTTGTGGGATGCACATCCAGGGCACGAAGCTCCCGTTCCACCACATCCCAAAGATGCTCTATTGGGTTGAGATCTGGTGACTGTGGGGGCCATTTCAGTACAGTGAACTCATTGTCATGTTCAAGAAATCAATTTGAAATGATTCGAGCTAGGGGTCGACCGATTATCGGCCTGGCCGTTTATCGGCGCCAATATTAAGCATTTTTATGGTTATCGGTATCGGCCATTTTCAAAACCGATTTGCCGATAAAATAATTTTATTTTGAAATGCGCTATATTTGGCTCTGACGCAGCCATCTTTGTCGGAACTCACCACTCTGTAGACTAGACTAATGTCCCCGCACATCTGATTTGTTGGGAGTCACGAGTCCGGCCAATCAGCGCGGAAAGCTGAGGCACTGAAAGTGTTGCACTCTCACACCGAGAGAGCACTCGCTGACTAGAACTGCTTCACTGATCACGCTTCAGTTGTCTCTCAAAGTTAAGGCAGCAGCAGACTTTGCTGAAGAAGCAATAGATTACTACACTGAAGTTGCAAAATACCTCAATATAATAGAGCCCTGTGATTTCCGCGATGCAGAACAGACGGAGTCGTGGAATCCAGTCATAAAAACGGTATTTACTGTATAAAGCGGAATATCACGGAATTTATCAACTTTTTGATGAATTAATAAAAAGCAGGTCAGTACAAATCAAACCGCAAAAAGACTATTTAAATATGAATCCTGCGTGTCTCTAACGTTAATTGAATGGCGCAGAGACGCGTGATTTCAGTTACCACACACACACACACACACTGGAGCACGCGTGACGGTTGCGCTGTTTTCAGCCTCAGCCGCATCATTATATGAGGACATGATTGCATAAACATCATCTCCAGAGCCGCTTAGTCACTTCATGAGCTTTTTAATGCTTCAACTGAGAAAAGTTATCGACATATCATAAACACACAGAAACTCAAAGATCTCCACGGCAACCCGTCAAAATAAAAGTTCGATTTTTCACAAGGCCCTAAAAATGACATTTTTGTTAAACTGTAAATAAATTGAATAAGTTTGATTTTAATTCATTAGAAATGCTTTTTGATTACTAAAATTTTATTTAAAAATTAAAATAGTCTTTAAGTTTTACAAAATGTTTACAGAATGCTGCTGGGTGCTCCCTGCACTTTTTACAAGTTATTATTATTATTATTAAAGTCCCTGTAAAGGCAATTTCAAAAAAAAATTCTAAACACATTATAAATGTTAGAAATGTATTGCTAAAACATATTATAAAGACTGTGAACTGTGAAGTACTGAATTGTGGAGTTAGACCGTTAAACAGTTTTTCACCATTGCTATTTTCCGGATTTTCTGGGCGGGGCTAAAACAGGGCTCGATGACGCACTGGAGCCCCTGAGCCCCTGGACACGCCCCTACTTGATGACGCACGGGAGCCGCTGAGGCTGGCCGCTCCTAACAATTATAGAGCACATTCACATCAGTTTGCGCTCAATCGCGAGTTACTGTCTGTCAGTACTATTAGTAACACAGCCTACAGATTGCTAGCTAGCTATGCCTTCGTCGCGGAAATGCGTACTACCTGGATGCGATCACCGGATCACGTACAAAACAGATCGGTGTCCTTGTTTAAATTTCCGAAAAACAATTACATCAAGAAGAAGTGGATTAATTTTGTGAAGAGCCACCTTGATGGAGAGCTGAGGATCACCGCCAAAACCCGCCTCTGTAAGTGATCATATTACATGGGATAGTTTTATAAACTTTTGTCGGAGATAACTGTCTGGGATTCACTGATAATCCGCTGTTGCTGGTGAATGGGGCCGAACCGACTCCCGCCTCAGCCTTCATCCTCCCGTCGCGCCGACAACTGGTGCCATCATCGGCAGTGCGTGCCCACCGTGCGAGCATCCATTACGGCTGTAGAGTTGAGTGTGGACGGCATAGTCTATGGTGGACGGCAGCTTTCCCGCGAGTGGGCGTGGTTTCAGCGCAGCCAGCGGACACGCCCCCAGCGTTTGAGAGCAGAGATTACTGCTCATTTTTTCAAGATTTTGATAGCTTATTTTATGTACTTGCTGGCTTTTTTTATCATTCTAATTTGGCTGGGTGACTAATAACAAATTTTTCTGTGGTGTGACAAACTCAAAACACATACTTAATTTTGACTTTACAGGGACTTTAATAACAGTTCTCAGATTCAAAGATATGTTTAAAATCATTTAAAGAAAGTATTTGTCAAAGCCCTTTGTTATTCTTAATTTTTTACAATAATTTACAGTTTTACACCAGACATAGCTATAATATATATATATATATGAAGAGTTCAGATGCAAAAGCCTCTAAATGCCATCTGAAATTTTCTTCTAAAATGATCATTTTTATCAAGCTCGTATATTTAAGTTTAATAATTTCACTTAAATGGCAAGAAAAATTACCCATTTATTGTCATTTAAGTGAAATTACTGAATTTAAATATACGAGCTTGATAAAAATGATCATTTTAGAAGAAAATTTCAGATGGCATTTAGAGGCTTTTGCATCTGAACTCTTCATATATATATATATATATATAAATATATATATCGGTTCAAAATATCGGTTATCGGTCTATTTGACCTGTAATAATCGGTATCGGCATCGGCCCTGAAAATCACATATCGGTCGACCCCTAATTCGAGCTTTGTGACATGGTGCATTATCCTGCTGGAAGTAGCCATCAGAGGATGGGTACATGGTGGCCATAAAGGGATGGACATGGTCAGAAACAATGCTCAGGTAGGCCGTGGCATTTAAACAATGCCCAATTGGCACTAAGGGGCCTAAAGTGTGCCAAAAAAACATCCCCCACACCATGACACCACCACCACCAGCCTGCACAGTGGTAACAAGGCATGATGGATCCATGTTCTCATTCTGTTTACGCCAAATTCTGACTCTACCATCTGAATGTCTCAACAGAAACCGAGACTCATCAGACCAAGCAAAATTTTTCCAGTCTTCAACTGTCCAATTTTGGTGAGCTCTTGCAAATTGTAGCCTCTTTTTCCTATTTGTAGTGGAGATGAGTGGTATCCGGTGGGGTCTTCTGCTGTTGTAGCCCATCCGCCTCAAGGTTGTGTGTGTTGTGGCTTCAAATATGCTTTGCTGCATACCTCGGTTGTAACGAGTGGTTATTTCAGTCAAAGTTGCTCTTCTATCAGCTTGAATCAGTCGGCCCATTCTCCTCTGACCTCTAGCATCAACAAGGCATTTTCGCCCACAGGACTGCCGCATACTGGATGTTTTTCCCTTTTCACACCATTTATTTTTAAACCTTAGAAATGGTTGTGTGTGAAAATCCCAGTAACTGAGCAGATTGTGACATTGTCAGACCGGCCCGTCTGGCACCAACAACCATGCCACGCTCAAAATTGTTAAAATTACCTTTCTTTCCCATTCTGACATTCAGTTTGGAGTTCAGGAGATTGTCTTGACCAGGACCACACCCCTAAATGCATTAAAGCAACTGCCATGAGATTGGTTGATTACATAATTGCATTAATGAGAAATTGAACAGGTGTTCCTGATAATCCTTTAGGTGAGTGTATGTCTATGTGGTGTTTTTAACATGCTTTAAGACAAACCATGTGCAAATTCATAAGTCAAAACTATTGCTGAGTATTTTCTCTTTAAAACTGCAGTGATCTAAAGACAGTCTCGAAAACACGCTTTAAAATCGCTGGTGTTTCTGATGTCACAAACTACCATGTAACCAATTACATATTTGCTGGCGGGCTTTAGCATAATTATGACCGCTCTGAAGCAGTGAAGTCTCAAGAGAAGCCAGGTTATCCCGGTATATTTTTCTGTTGATATGAAAAATCAGATAGATTTCGTAATATACATAATTCACCCGCTATATTGCTATCTTCTGATGGACTATATGCCTTTCTCCACTGACATTCTGAATTGTTCAAAGCATTTCTTTTTTTATAATTCAACTTTTTTTTTGTAAAAAAAAGTACATCACCACATTATTCAGTAATCACCATTGCAATTACACATTCAGCCACTAGTCACCATCAGTGGAATACAACCAAAACAAAAGCACATGGAAAGTAAACAATTGTTAAGCAGTCCTTTTCATTTACACCATTTTTATATGCTGCCAAAAATGATCCCATATATATATATTTTTATTTCTCCCTCATTATGCAGTCTCTCCAACATGCTCTCATATGAAGCAATTTTAATTATCCCATCAATCCAGTCTTTCAGGTCTAGGGTTTTGGGGCATTTCCAATTTTGTAAAATCATCCTGGCAGCTGTAATACAACCACTCTTAATAAGGGTAAATGTATTTTTCGCTATGTTGGGTATCACTGATTTATCTCCAAGAAGGCATAGTCGTGGTTTCACAGGTAAATTTGACCACTCTTCAAGTACCGGCACTGCCAGAATTTTACACCAGAATGGGTGAACTAAAGATTATTCCCAAATCATATGTAAATAAGTACACTCTTCTTCTTTTCAAAGCATTTCAAAGGATTCTGAGGCAGCTGTCTGACTCTGAGATGGCGAACGGGAACATGGTTCATGTAACATTAGCAACACGTTATTAGCTGTTTTATAACAAAGTCAAGCAAAAGGCTAATTATATAAATTACCGGTATGTGTCCGACGTTAAGAGCGATACCATTGTGCAGAGTTTACTTAAGTTGACCGAGTGAATCTGTGAGCTGGTGTGAATGAGTGGAGGTGGGGTTAATTAGCACATTAATAGATCTGCATGTACTAAATGAAGCAAGGGTGTAGAGTTACATTCAAGCTATTTTAAGGCACGAAGAATTTTTTTTCACGAAGAAAAAAAAAGTTTAAATATGTAATTTTGGTGATCAAAGATGAATTTTAAGGGATAAAATGATTGACTACAGGGGGACTTAAACCAATCTATAATAATGTGCCCTTTAATCATAATTTCTGTGAAAAAGGAATAAAGGTTGGTGTTTTACTGCCACTATTGGTCATTTCAACTGGAAACTGCAGTGAATTGTATCTATATTATGTACTTATGTTACCGTTTTGCCACAATGTAGGAAGAGCCATGTTTTTCCAATGAACCAAGGTTGAGAATAGTTCAACTAATTTTCTTCTAAACGTCTTTGCAGTCAAACCCCGTCACAGCTACTAACCATCCGCCTGCTGCCACGTTCCTTCTCGGCCTTTCTCCCAGTGAACGACAGTGTGTGGAGACAATTGTGGGCATGGGTTATTCTTACGAGGGTGTTCTCAGAGCCATGCAAAGACAAGGACAGAATGTGGAAGTGGAACAGGTCACTTTTTAGGCTTGGTTATCCTTACTACCAGTCTCTGTGATAGTGTTGTTTATGTAAACAATTAAATGAGACTCTTTAATAACTTAGTTGTTTTGCCACTTCTCTCATTCGCAGGTGCTGGACTATCTGTTTACTCACAGTCGACTGTGCGATCGGGGTTTTGATGCAACGTCTGTGGAGGAGTGCTTGGAGATGTACCAGGGCTCAGAGGAAAAGGTTGGTGAATTCCGACAGCCATAAATACACACAAAGACTGAATTACTATCTGCTGTCTAATTTAAATATACATTTGCATCTATACTTGTTTCCATGTGCTTGGAAACACTGATCCTATAAAGAATTTAAAAAGAATTATACTTTGTAAGAACAAAGTGTCATTTAGGAGTCTGTGAGGTACATATAATTTCTTCACAGCAACATAACAGATAATTCATATCAGATGCAAAGGTACAAAACTTGTCTGATCAAAGGTCAAACTTTTAAAGACCATTAGCTCACAATAATCATAATAACATTAACATGTTTTATTAAAGGGTTAGTTACTTTTTATTCATCAAAGAATCCTGAAAAAAATGCATCCTGGTTTCCATGAAAATATTAAGCAGCACAACAGTTTTCCAACATTGATAATAAGAAATGTTTTTTGAGCAGCCAATCAGCATATTAGAGTGATTTCTGAAGGATCATGTGACACTGAAGACTGGACTAATGATGCTGAAAAACTCAGCTTTGCATCACAGGAATAAATTACATTTTTAAACATTCAAATGGAGAACAGTCATTTTAAATAGTAATTTTCACAATATTACTGTTTTTACTGTATTTTTAATTAAATCAGATTTAATCAAATTAAGTTTAAATATGGCAGTTCAGAAACAAATTCAGTTCAAATATGGCATTAAATATATATAACATTGACTTAAACATTTTATATTCACACAAAGCTATTGCACGGCTTTTGAAGGCCTGTTATATATCGGCTACTTTTATGTTTCTTTTTTTGTGTGTGTTATTTTTGGATCCTTGTGCCCATTCTGGACATTTTGCATTATATTCCATAGAATAAAAAGTCATAAATATTTCAAACAAAACAAGGTTGTGTGTAAATGATGACATTCATTTCCGTTTCAGTTTTGCGTTGTTATATTTATGCAACATTCTCTCCCATAGGCTCTTGAGTTTCTGCAGCTGATGTCAAGGTTTGGGGAAATGGGCTTTGAGAGAGACACTATTAAAGAGGTACTACTCGTGCACAATAATGACCAGGATAAGGCGCTGGAGGATCTGATGGCCCGAGCGGCTGCGAGCTGAGCTTCGAGAGTCCGTCCACCTGGAGCCACCCCCTCCCCTGGCCCTCCGAGGGGTCCTGGCTGTGGAAGGATGTGATACTCTTATCTCTAAGACAGGACGACTGATTTTGTATCCTAATAAAGATATACCTCTTGGAGTAGGGATTGATGGCACCGCTCAACTGTGCATTCATCCCTCTTCAGCTGTATGTCTGTTAAGTGATCTTAGAATGGTGACGAGTGGGAGGAGCCCAAACCCTTCTCCGAGAATCGGCATTGGCTAGTGTCTCTGTTGCCATGGTGACAGACTAGACTGGGCGGTACTGGAGAAACAGAATTGAGCGGAGCCCCATTGACGCCAGGTTTGACAGATTACGGACTCGGAGTGACACTCGAAGCTATTACGCTGCCATCTCCCGCTGCTGGACGCAGGCTTTCGAAAATTGAAACCTGAACACTCATAAATACAACCCATGGCTAAACAGAAACCCCACTGAAGTGCCCTCTCTCTATTCTGTCTCTGCTGTTTGTTTGTTCATACATTGTTTATATGTTTGACAGGTGGAAATACTTTATCTTTCTTCATTTGTCCTTTTTTGAGATTGTGTTTCTTTGCTCTATGGTTAGGAACTGCTTTTAACAGAACTAATCAGCATTATGTAAGTTTGCCCAGTTGGCTTTTGCACTGGAATGAACACATTCGGCAAGAAAAATTTGTAAGTTCGGCTGGAGCTGCAAAATTGAAATGATGCCGCCACGTTTTCATACAAATGACATGCAAATACTGCACAGGCACACTGAATCACAGATGTTAATATAAACGTATTTAAAGATCTGTAAAGATACACTGTCGGTTTCCATCTGTAATAAATAAATTGAGAACATTAACACACCCTACTGAGGTTAACACATTAATATGAGATTTATTCTGAAATCTATTGGACAAAGCAGAAGAAAAATGGAGGTAAACACTAGCACTCAAAAGTTTGGGGTCAGTAAGATTCTGTTTTAAAGAAATTTAGTCTTTTGTTAAGCAAGGATGCATAATATTGATCAAAAGTGACCTTTATGATTAGAAATAAGAATGGATCTTAGAAAACATGAATGGATCTTACCGACCCCAAACTTTTGAACAGTAGTGTCCTTAAGTGATAGTTGTGCAATAGATCTGAAGGTGAGACTGTGAATTCTTGTGGCACATCTTTTGGGCCAGTAGAAACTCTGAATGGACTTTTAGAGATTTGATCACAAGAGGTAAACTGTGTGTCTGTTAAAATACCGGCCAACTTGCTCACATAATGGCATTCTCTTTAGAGGAAAGCAGAAAAAAGAGGTTGAACTGTGCAATGTAGGAACTTTACTGATATAATTTATTAACATATCTGACTTCAATAGAATTTTTTTGGCTCAAATGTAGCCCAATGTCTAACCTCATACGTTTTGATACTGAATTTTGACCTTTGGTTATCAGCGGGTGAATGTCATGAAAAAAATGTCCAGGTCATATTCCACCCCAAAATCCTAAAAAGATTTATTTGTGTATTGGAGAAAACCAAGCCTTTTTTAAGGACCAAAAAGTTTTTTTTTCTTTTTTTTTCTTCTTCTCCTCTTTTACTGAATTTTGTAACAAAAAAAACAACAACTCAATTTCACTGCAATAATGGTCTTTATGATACATAATGAGAAATAGACTTTTTTTTAAAAAATAAGGTGTTTTTTTTTTGTAGTGAAACATGACCTGTATATATGTTTATGAGAGGTTTTGTGACATTTGCCTAAAAAATTGTGAGTGTGCCATTTCTTTTTTTTTCTTTTTACTTTGTGTCAGTTCCCATCACACCAATTCATTTAGGTTGAGATGTAGATTTTTAAATGCCCTAGCAGCCAGATACCCTTATTTCACTCTTTAAAGTTTTCAAATATACAGCAGTCTTCAGTTGTTAAATGCTTTTACCTGGCATGAGATGGTACTACAAACCTTAATCAAGATAGTCCAGAGAAACATGAGTGTGTTACTGTTGATACTGTTCAAATTATATCAAGCACTTTCCTCTGAGATGGAATCATTTTTGAAAGATGTCTCTGAGGGGAGATATATAGGTTATTGGGGACCTCATATGGCGCATCATGAATAAAAGTGCTGCGTTATCATTTTGTTTTTATTTTTTAATTTTCACCTTTATAGGTACAAAAACATCCTCTTTAAGCTCACTTTCCATGTACAATTTATTTTGACATGTGTTGCTTCAAAATCATGATTAAATTGTAATGTGTGGCGTGTGGGTGCTTGTTGATGCTGGTGGATCTCATGTAGTCAAGGTCACCCAAAAATTAAAAGAAAAAATAAGAAAATGAACTTTGCATAAAGTATTTTAGGATACTTTTTTTTATGATTTACCATTACGTAAACATACATTCCTCTCTCTCTCTAGATATAGATAAAAACAAGGCTTGGACAATGAAACTGAAACACCTGGTTAATATGGTGTAGGGCCTCCTTTTGCGGGCAATACTGCTTCCATTCGTCTTGGGAATGACAGACACAAGTTCTTCACAGTGGCCAGATTGATTTTGAGCCATTCCTCTTAGAACATTGGCCAAGTCACTATGTGATGCTGGTGGAAGAAGACGTCTCCTCAAAATACCCCAAAGTGTCTCAAAAATCTTTAGATGTGGTGACTGTGCAGGCCATGGGAGATTTTCAACTTCACTTTCATGTTAATCAAACCATTCTGTCACAAGTCTTGGTGTGTGTATTGGTGCAATATCATTCTGAAACACGGCACCTCCTTCAGGGTACAATGTTTTTGAACCATTAGGTGCACATGGTACTCCGGAATAGTTCGGTTGTCCCTGGCAGCGCCCATCAAGCACAGTTGTGAATGCCATGCCCAAACCCATCACTTATCCACCTCCGTGCTTCACTCTGGGCAGCAGCAGTCGGGAAGTTAAGCCTCTTTGGGGCTTCTCCACACCGTAACTCCCACGAATGTGGGGAAGACGGTGGTCTCATCAGAGAACATGTTTCACATTGTCCACAGCCCAAGATTTGCACTGTTGGCAGTTGGCACCAATGAAACTGACTTGGCATTGACACGAGTGACCAAAGGTTTGGCAGCCCGACCATGAATGTTAACTCAATGGAGCTCCTGACAAATAATTTTCTTGGAAACAGGAGAGTCAAGGTGTGCATTTAATTCTGCTGTATTTTTCTGTTTTTTGGATACAATCCGGGTTAGTGCCTGGACATCCCTTTCAGACAGCTTCCTCTTGCTTCAACAGTTACTCCTGTTGGATGTGGTTCGTCCTACGTGGTGGTATGCCAAAATTACCCTGGATACAATAGCTCTCAATACACCAAAAAGACTTGGTGTCCTGGTCACAGATGTGCTAGTTAGGGGTGGAACGGTACACAGAAGTCACGGTTCGGTTCATACCTCGGTTCAGACATCACGGTTCGGTACGATTTCGGTACAATGGAGTGAAAAGCAAAGCAAAAATGCAGAAGGCATTTTTATAAATGTCTTAAACCTTGTATTTTTTAAAATAAGTTTTATTAATAAAGGCATAGAACCAGTTTATTTGTAGTGCACTGACAGTAGTTTTATATAATTAGTTTATTAATTAAATTATTAAAAAGACGAAAAGACCTTGAGATATGTTTGGTAATTGTACCTGAATGAATTTAAAATTAATTTGCTATTTCAGATCAAGATATTTGTTTTCCTTCATTTTAATTAACTAACTTTATTCTCATCTGAATTATAAATAATTGATTTCCGTATAAAATAATACTACCATAAAAACTTTTGTTAACAGTTGTAGGTTACAGTTTGACAAGAGTTTAGAGTGTGACAAAAGCACAATGTTGTGTTTTATTGCCAGTGTACACAAATATAAGTAAACAATTTGCAGTTTTAATGATGTCCTGTATGAAAAAAATGACGGAGTATGTTTTTACGTTTCCACTGTTCGATCGCCCGTGCCTCTCTCTCTCTCTCACACACACACACACACACACACTGTTCATCGCGCGATTCGCGCCCGCGCCTCTCTCTCTCTCGCACGCGCGCGCACACACACACACACACACTGTTCATCGCGCGATTCGCGCCCGCGCCTCTCTCTCTCGCGCGCGCGCACACGCGCACACACACACACACACACTGTTCATCGCGCGATTCGCGCCCGCGCCTCTCTCTCTCTCGCACCCGCGCGCACACACACACACACTGTTCGATCGCGCCTCTCTCTCTCTCGCACACACACACACACACTGTTCATCGCGCCTCTCTCTCTCTCTCTCTCTCTCGCTCTCTCTCTCTCTCTCTCTCTCTCTCTCTCTCTCTCTCTCTCTCTCTCGCGCGCACACAGACACACACACTCCTGCATTGCAATCTTGATCGCAGCCTGTTCATTGCTGCGTTAACAGTCACACCAAAAGCGAATAGAGCGAAATTTATCGCTATTTAAGAGGGTTTTTTTTTTATTTGTACCGTGTATTCTGCGTGCAAATTCGTGCACCGAACCGTGACGCCCGTACCGTTTCGGTTCAATACGAATACATGTACCGTTCCACCCCTAGTGCTAGTGAGACTTGTCTTCTTTTGAACTCTGATATGTCTCCCATTATGTTGTGTGGATTGCAATTTTTGATGTACAGCTGTGCTATTACTCTGCTAATTCAACCTTCACACACTGCTCTTACTGACGGAATGTAAAATCAGTTAAGATTGGCCACCAGGCCTAGCATAAGGTATAGGCGTGAAACCTTCAACACTATATTGGACAGTGTTTCAGTTTCATTGTCCAACCCCTATATATATATATATATATATATATATATATAGTCTTGAAATTGTCTTGATGCAAAATCTACTATTTTTTCTTCTTTTTTTTTTTTAGATGAAATATGACCCGCATATGTTCTTGACAGATTTCAAGAGGTTCACCCATCCCGCACTGGACTGATTATTCAAATAAAGTAAACATGGTTCTTCCTCGTCTACTTTTTGTGTCAGCATCCCTCAGTCTAGGCTGAACAGACTAGAAAAGGCTGAAAAGAACAGAGCAAACCCACTGCTGGATGCATCACAAAGAGCATTCTGGCCTGGAGTTAGTCAGCGCTCAAATGCAGATCTATTGTTATAATTGTAAATGGGGAAATGTGCTGAACCTGATGGACAGGTAGAGCAGATCAGAGGGCTTTTGTTTTGACGATACAGAGATCTGTTGCTCTTAAAAGTGTAGCGTTTTAAAATGTTTAGTTTTATTTAAAATTATTTCAGACTTCAGTATGATAAAACTTAATCTTCTTTTCAAAAAAATGTGGCTGTCACTGCACTGGTGTTTCTGATGCACAGATTTTGTCCAGGAGCAGCAAAAAAAAAAAAGGATTAACTCTTGCTGGTATGGTGAAACTTCCAGTGGAACAGAAATAAGCAGCAACAAAGGTCACACCCCACATGTTGAACAGCAAATTGTGTGTCGGACAAAATAAACGATCAGCCAATGGCATTGAACTGGGGAAACATTTTCATCACGTTCATAATTAGAGAGGAGGGCATTCAGTAATGTGAATTTCCACACTTTTATTAATTAAATAAATTATTAGTCATTTGTAATTATGTAGCTCCTTACACTCTGGACTTTCTTTCAACCAACTTCACGAGGTGCTGGACACTTATTTCCTCTTTTCCTTCACTGTTCAGTCATCCTTTTAAAACAAAGTTTAGTACTTTATATTTCTCTTAAAAACTCATTTAAAGAATGTTTATATAATGTTTATATATTTCATATATATTATAAAATTTAATAAGTTATACAGGTCAATTTCAATGATATACAATCATATAATTTAACTTAGCGAGGCCCCTAATAAATCATAGCATAATAGACTTTAGGTTTTAACCTAATAAATTATTTTCTACTACGATTACTACGTCTATAAATGTACATTAACATAACGACCACCAAATACATTAAAGGAGTCATAATGTGCAATTTTCACTTTTCCATGAGAATCAATGTATGTTATGATTGACTAACGATTATACATTGGCCGGGATGCCGATATCTATGACCAGAGCTTATTTTTATCCAGCCAATTTTAATGATAAAAATGACATGCATCATTCATGAGACATTGTACATTATAAATGCCATAAACTTTTTTTGTGGATTTAAATAAAGCACATAATTGTAAGAATGAATATATAACTACAGCAAAACAAACCATTTAGTTTACAAGTAGAAAATGATACGTGAGCCGTAAACCATGGCCGTAAAACGTGAGAAGGTAGAGCGTGCGCGCGCACGCACGCAACAGTCGCGCACGCGTACGCTTGACCTTGTTTTTGTTGATGTTTGACTAGAGTGCGGCTGCGCGCGGCGATGTACGTTGTCGGATGACGCGTTTTGTCAGGAGAACGACGGACAGAGACAGAGAAAGAAGATAGGTGAAAAGTGAGCTCGGTGCAGGGGAGGGGCAGCTGTACCGTTGTAGCTCCTCCACACAGACGGAAAACAAACAATCCTGCCCTGAAAAAGATCTCAATCAAACGGATCGGGGATCGGCCACTAAAACAGAGTCGGACGGTTAACGTTATTCGATTCATCCTCGGCCGACGCGACTCCATTGGATTCGATTAGTCGCGCCGCTTTACCAGCCCAGAGGCCGCCGAAATAACCCCATGGCCATTATATGATCCACTTCCCAGCGTCGCTGCTACCCTCCATGTGGGTGAGGGAACTGTGCGTGTCGGGCTATGGCGAGAAAAACAGTTAGCAGGAAAAGGAAAGCAGAGGAGCCCAAGGAACAACAGGTAAAAAAACAAAAACAAACATCTGTTATACCTAACAAAAACACTAGCTACATGCTAACCTCTCGTTTGATATGAAATGATAACCACGTATAATGTAAAACAGAAGCTCGAAATGTGACAGTTTACAAACAGGAACAGATTGCAGTCTAATGTTAGCATCAGTCTGCTGGCTAAAGGCTAACGTTAATGGTGTGGTTGTTAACTTAGTTGTTGTTGACATTGATCTGGCATTGGTGAGCTGGTTTATTAATGTGTAATCATTTATCAGTTGCCTTGGACGTTGAGGTTGTGTGTCTGAGTACGTCTTAATCCTGCAATAGATTACAGGATAATGGTACTCCTGCAAGAGACAGACAGCATTAACGTTAGCTGGTTAGTCGCCCTGTAGGACTGAGATCTGCTATAGTTCTCTATTATTTCATCATTAAGATGAGAAATATCAAAAACACAATGTGTTTTTTTGCTGCACAATGATATAACGTTAGTCTCAAAATCAAGATTAATGTTCTTAACATATGTATCAATGTATTCGATTGTCTCTTTATTGATATAACCATAAGCCACATTTCTTCAGACTTATTAAATATTTTATATAATTAGATATATTTTTAAACATAAGAAAACGGGCATATAAATGCAGTCTTTAAAGAAACATTACCACTATGTCCTGACAGCAGGAAGAGTTTAATTTTAGCCAGATTTCACAGATGTGTCTGTACTTTCTGTCAAAAATGTGACGTTTTAATGAAAACATTTATATAATAACTTAAGGCAATATCAAAGTCAACCTTCATCCTGAAGGTCCTCTTTCTATATTCCACCTGCTATGAGTTCAACAAGGTCATATAACGTTAGGTGCTGTTGAATTTGTATCATTTAAAATAATTGTCAATGTCAATATGTTTAACTTGTCTAGTTTTATCAATATTCCTGATGAATATCTGACACATTCTTTTGAATCTGTTGATTATTGATCTGTATGGATTGATTGGCCAGTAATGGCTTATTATGGCCTTGTAGTGATGTAGATGTGGATTCACAGGACAGGATACAGATACAGTCCTCATATGGGCCGGGGAAGGTGGTCTTCAGTGCAACACACTGACTACCGGTAGTTGCTTTCCTTATTTGGTTTCGTTGAAGGTTTATTTCTGTTATCACAGGTTAACACTAAACGTGTCCCTGTGTGACAGCCATATCTAGAAGAGAAAATCATTCAAAAAAATTCACTGATATATCATAGGCCTCAACAATTGATGTTAGTAGTACCTAACTAGACCTTATGAGGTGAATGATTGTCCTGACTTTATATTATGTTCATCTCACTGATTATTTAAATTTCATATTATTTTATTACTATAATATTGTAAATATCATATAATAATACAGTGAGTTTATGAAGTCTATAATTTAAAGAAAAGTTTTTTTCATGCTTCAAAACTTTCACATATCATAGCTTAATATACAGAAACGGTTACATCTAAGTAAGCCGTTTGCAGGTTTATTTCTCTAAAAATGTTTGTTTGTGTATCCCGACCAGCACAACCCAGCATCAACCAATGTGTGAATTTGGGGGCGGGACTAGTCAGATGAGATATTTTTGTAGTACAGCTTGATTGTTAATGTTGATTCTTTGAGGGTTTCCCACAGCTTTAACACTCTTGAAGGGTTTTTTTTTTGGTATGATAATACACTTGCAGAGTTTGTGAATGGGAAGGTGGCCGTGTCTTGACTAAGATCCTATTCTGACCTACTTGGCCGCTAGGATCTGGGTCAGTCAGATAGGACCGACGTTTACTGGCCTGAAGGGGGATTGGAAGAGCTTTACAAGAGTAGAAACGCATCAGTGTTTATGACTAGATCTCGCGTAGGACAGATTATGTCATTTCAGCGAGAGTTATTTATATGGGTGATGATGTCTTGATTATAAGCGTTATGATGTCAGTGCTGTTTAGTGGGAACAAGCATTAAAATGAATGAGTCTCCGTCTCACACACACTGATTGTTGGGCCTACGGGAGCTGATATACTTCAAGCCATTGGTTTTACACACCCCTGTCATGGCTATATTTGATTTGTCGATGCTTGCCGGGAGCACAGAATCGCTTTGTCTGCCATCTGGCGTTAGCATAAGATGGATGCCCTCACTTTTGTTGTTTGGCTGTTTTGGTGCAATATATTGTGTTTGATTGTATAGAGTGCTGTTAGCAGGGTGAGGTGATGGGTTTTCAGTGCCACCAGGTGTTTTTCTTCGAATGCAAGCTGTTTTTAAAAGCTGCAAAAGTGCCTACACAGTGCTGGATTGCAAAGGAGCCACCTTAAACCTGATGTCCTGTGAGATTTTTCTCATAATTTATGGTTTCTGTTTGAAAAAAAGTTACATAATCAGAATGAGAGAGAGAATATGCAATTTACTACCAAAGAGCATTTTTGTGAAGTAAAATTAAGGTTTAAATTAATTAACAAAGTTTTATGAAGAGGATCTAATGCTCACTCAAAGTTACTCTTGTAAACACTAAATTTCCAAATTAATATCCATTTTTTTAATGTTGTGATTAAAATGTATTTGTAGCATTTAACATGATTGATTTGAATTTTTAGTGGTTTATTTAATTTATTTAGTTAATATATTTGATTTATTTTGTGGTGATTTTTGCCCATTTGCACAGAATAAAATGCATATTTGAGCAGTTTCAACTAAAAGCAACTTGCAGTGACACATCTTAAAATATGTCAGCGCCATTATTTTTCTAAGACACATTTATGAAAGCTACTTAAATGTCCTAATAACCTAGCCCTGTCTGTGAAACCATGTCGAAAATTATTATCAGTAACTGCCAGTAAATGCTTTACAGTTTGTTTTAGGTCATAGCATTTTTTAAAATCACATTTATTATGAAAGTAAATTGTTTTCATTTAGATTTTTAACATGTTGTGGAATCACTCCTTTTTGTCCCTCTGACAGTTTGACTGGTGTCAGAGTGCGTTCAAGCGTGCCCGCGTGTCCAGCTCAGCGCGTCATGCCCAGCACTGGTGGCAGAGTCGGCGGTCGGTGGTGTGCTCTGTGAGAGGGAGGGAGTTTCGCCCCCAGCAGCAGCACGAGTGGAGCTTCCAGCGGAGTCTGCGCGGGTTCGCCGCTGGACGCATCCCCGGGATCCTGAGAGAGAGAGAGTTCTCCCTCGGCCGCCTCAACAAGGTGTTCGCTTCCCAATGGCTCAACCACAGACAGGTGGTGTGCGGGACCAAATGCAACACGGTGAGGTGGTTTATGATTAGTACTTCATGTAATGTTATCAATGCTGTACTGTTCTTTCCTCACATTTAAATCGTGATATATTTGAAAGTTTACTGTTAATTTTGATGTTTGGTGTAAACTGGAAAATAGTTTACTCTATTTCACAGTTTACACTTTCTTTCACTCTTTTGCTTTCACTCCCCACACATACAGGATGCAAGTTACTTTTAAAACCAGATTTACTTAACCGTACTTAATTTCCCTTAGCCTGGTTAAAACCAGACCATTCTCAGTTGTAACTGAGTTATGGTCTGGCAAAGCGTCATAGACAAATCATTTCCAGAGTGGCGTCACCAACGGACGTCGCGGATAGACCTAAAACCAATCAGAGCGATGAAGGAGATGACGTATGCAGAGCGGCAGAGAAACATCTCCGAGTGTTGTTCTTTGCTCGGTTTTTAACAAAATAGGAAACGCTTAAATCGCTTAAAACAGACGCGATAGCTGATTCGAACGAGTGATGTTCGACGGCGGCATCCATCTTTGTAATGTAGGCTAAAATCTGCTTCAAAATCCCAGCGCTGTCGTCACCGTGTAAAGCCCGCCCCAACGTTTCTGATTGGTGCCTCGATTTCGACGGATTGGAAATGGGCTTGAATGAGCTCTTTGCCAGACTAACTTTCAGAGCAAATCTAAATTTGCCGGAAGTTGTCTGGGTTTTCCCAGGCTAAATTTCCCTGAGACACTTGCAGGATATAATTCTGCATATGAGTTGGGTATTTACATTATTAAAGTGCAAGACACAAATCTTCCAAGAGAAAAGGCAAAAAAGTAGACCTACTATTATTATAGTTTACAATCTATATATATTAGGGCTGGCAAACGATTAATCACGATTAATCGCATCCAAAATAAAAGTTTGTGTTTACATAATATATGTGTGTGTACTGTGTATAATTATTTTATATATAAATACAGACACGTATATATTTAAGAAAAATATGTTATTTATATATAAAATGTTTATATTTATATAAAATATACATTATATATAGGCTACATTCAGTCTATATACATGAAAATATTTCTTAAATACACATGCATGTGTGGGTATTTATGTATTAAAAATAATTATACACAGTACACACACATATATTATGTAAACACAAACTTTTATTTTGGATGCGATTAATCGCGATTAATCGTTTGACAGCCCTAATATATATATATTCAACTAGTATTTTTTTTAAATGACAAAGACACACAGCAAAATTAACTAAAATTTAAAATATTAATAAAAATATTGAATCTCATTGATACTAAAATAACTATCCCTACCAGTTTGCAAAAGGATTTTCGAGGCACATGTCACCCTACAAGAATATTCCTGGTTAAATGAGCTCTATTGACAGCTACTGTGACATGCTGTTGATTGAAACAGAAAATAATTTTGGCCTGTAAATTGATGCTCTTATAGAGTTTAACTTATTTAAAGTCCCTCTTAAAACTCATCTTTGATCACCAAAATGATATATTTAAATGTTTTTTCCTGTCAAAATAATTTCTTCATGCCCTAAAATAGCTTCAATGTAACTCTACACCCTTGCTTCATTTAGTACGTGGAATCATGAATATGCATATTAGTCTCCTCCTCCACTCAATCACACGCTACACGATTGCAAGAGGAAATACTGGTTTAATTCAGCCATATATGTTTGAACCAGAAACTGATTCAGAAGAAGTGGAAAAACGAATTATACAGGCTTTTCTACAAGTCGATTATAAGCCTTTGGCTTGACTACTTTAGCAAACAACTAATAATGTGTTGCTAATTTTACATGTTCAAACCATGTTCCCGTTCACTATCTCAGTCAGATGGCTGCCTTCTGAAAATCAGTATCTTAGAAATGCTTTTAACAACTTAGAAAGCCTGTGGAGAAAGGCATATAGTCCATCACAACATAATATATATCATGAACATAATTCTACCGCTCTATTGCTAAATGTACCTGATTTTTAATATCAACAGAAAAATATACCGGGATAACCTGGCTTCTCTTTTAGCATGATATGTTAAATTCCGCCCCGCACGTTGACGGGATTGTTTACAACATGTTTGTGATGTAGAGAAGTTTTTGAGGTATTTTTTTCACTGCAGTTTTAAGGAGAAAATACTCAGCAATGGTGTTGACTGATGAATTTGCACATGATTTGTCTTAAAGCATATTAAAAACACCACATAGACATATTATAAACAACATGAAAAACTTGATTTTCATCACAGGGGGTCTTAAATATTCCTTTAAAGGTACAGTTCACCCAAAAATGAAAATCTCCATCATGCTTTTCCATACAACTAAAGAGAATTGCAACTGTCAAGCTCCAATATGACACAAAAGTACAAAGAATATGCCCAGCTGTTTTGCTATATGCTTCTAAGACTTTCACCATGGTTCTGAGATGTTCCAGAGTACAATTTAGAGCTTGATAGATTTGACCTATTTATGTGTTTTATTTGTGTGTGGATTTCCAAAATGATCTAATTATTTTTGATACAGAATTCCTACAAGGATGACTTTTACTAATCCTGTTTTTCTTGTTCTTTTAGCTATTTGTGGTGGACGTCCTTTCAGGACAGATAACCAGGATACCCATGCTGAAAGACAGAGAGGGCAGGGGAGATATCTCCCAGGGTTCGGGTGGAGTGGGAGGCCATTTCCATTTCCAAAATCCAGGATCAGTCGGTGGCCTGGATGTCCAGCAGGGATGTGGCATCCACGCCATAGAGCTGAACCCCTCTCGTACTTTGCTGGCCACTGGAGGTGACAACCCCAACAGCCTGGCAGTGTACAGACTTCCCACACTTGACCCTGTCTGTGTCGGGGATGTGAGTCCGCCCTTTGCTCTCTTTCTAGTTGTGCAAGTAGTGTAAATGTCAAATGGATTAGTGGCTTCAGCCTTTGGCTCCATAAAAAGGAAAAACAAAAGTGCTCTTAGTGGCTAGCTTTGACTATCGTAATTGAAAACAACTCTGTTATTTAAAGACTCAAGTTTGGTTCTATATTTCTAACAGGATGGGCACAACGACTGGATATTCTCCATTGCGTGGATCAGTGATACCATGGCAGTCTCAGGTAAGAAGCTTGCAGATCCAGTTTTTTTTTTTTATTCTTTTTCCCCCCCAATTTTTTACATAGTGTATACATTTAAGAATACAAAGAAAACCAGACAATACAAACATAACAGAAGAAAACAAAACAAGAGGGGGTAGACTAGCATAGACAAGACCTAATCATAGATGAATTATTACAGCGAGAACAATAATTATACACTATTCAGACTTGAGGAAATCCACAAAGGGCTGCCATACAGTTTGAAATTGGCGATGAGATTTGGACTCCAAGGAACGTATCCTCTCTAGTTGTATGACATGAAACAGTTCACATAACCAAGCTATGAACGATGGAGAGTCTGACGATTTCCAGTTTAAAAGTATTGTTTTTTTCGCAAGAGTCATGCCCATCAATAGAGATCGTTGCTGAGATCTTGGAAGAGTATTCAATGTCACAGAGGATCCAAGAATTGCAAGACCATTGCAGATCCAGTTTTGAGCAAACACTTAACACCGTGTCCTAACACATTAAGTGCGAGTGTACATTTCAAGAATTGCCAAAATCATATTTCACCCCAAGCAGGTCATATTTCACCCAAAGGGAGAAAAGAAATAGAAAGTATGTTTTGCATGAAGAAAATGGGGCCTAGTTCCGGAACATTAAGATTTATATTACTTTCATTACAGTTTAGCACAGCCTGGGATGCATTTCTTAGTAACATACTGTAATGTGAAAATGACTCATTCTCATAACTGTAATGTGATTTGTATTTTTTACATAAATCTATTTCCTTCTGATTTTAATAAAAAAAAAAAATGTCATTAGTTTATTACAGTAATGGGAATGACATCTTGAGTTCTAGTAATGATTTTTTTTCTCTAAATTGTCTTGAATTTGTCACAGTGCAAAAATACTATTGAAACATGCATTTTTTTAATGCAACAAATTTATATCAGCCATGACAGTCAGCAGAATTGCACTTTTTGTGTTTCATGTGGTAGTCCTGTCGATCATATAATCTTATTAAATCAAATTTATGCTACACATGGATGTCTGCATACTTAAATATGCATGTTTTAATTATTCCTGTAATTTTTGTCATTTTGCACAGCTTTTCACTTCCATTCAGGACAGAAAAAGTGTCTGATACTTTAAATTTGATATGTTTTAACAAGAGGGGTAATATGTTATCAGGTTGTTATCTGGAATTTTTCTTGGAAGTTATCTGGAATCTTTTCTTGTTCCTCTTATTAACAATTCTTTTCACAATATTTCACTGTCTATTCGTTTGTTTATTTTTAGCTGTGTGATAAGCAGGATAATGTACAGTCAGCCAGTCATAATCACTCAAATAACCTGTTTAAAGCTATGCAAGACCCCTCTACTTTCCCTGACTACCCTGTCTGGGTGTATTTTGAGATGAATTATACATCATCTCTTGTTGTACACAATCCTATGTTGTACATGGTTTACAGATTCTACTGTTCCATTAAAGGAGAATGCATTTTTGTTCACTGGAGCAGGATCTCGTGATGGTTCCATGGGTCTGTGGGAGATATCAGAGGAGGTGTTGTCTCAAGCGGAGAAGCGTCAGAATGTGGAAGGGGTTCCTAGTTACTCCCACATTTCTCACCGCGCTCTCAAGGACATCCCGAAAGAGTACACCCACCCCTACAACTGCAAAGTGCGCGCACTAGCCTTCAACAACAGCCATAAGGTCAGCGGCTGTCTTTGACTCATGTGGCTGAACTGACTCAAAATTGATTGTCTTTGTGCGTCATTCAAGCTCACCGTTTCTCCAATTCTACTTTTCTTTTTCATTCATCCATTAGGAGTTGGGTGCCGTTTCTCTAGATGGATATTTCCATCTGTGGAAAGCACAAGACAACCTGTGTAAGGTACAGTTATCAGTATCAGTACCAGTATTTTTCTCTCTCTCATATATTGGCTTTTTATGCCAAGCTCAATATTTGGTTTCTCATGACTGTTTTTTTCCGTTAAATTCGATTTTCAGGAGCTTTCTACCAAACTTCCTTACTGTAAGGAGAATGTGTGTCTGGCGTACGGGATGGACTGGTCTGTTTATGCAGTCGGCTCTCAGGCTCACGTTTCCTTCCTTGACCCCCGGCAATCGACTCAGAACATCAAATCTGTGAGCTCCAGGGAGCGTGGCAGTGGTATGTTTGTTTTTTTTCTTCCAAGATAGTTCAGACAAAGTTAAAAAGTTATATTTTGCCAAGCAAACTGGTGTTCAATTTTCTGTTTTTTTTTATTTTTATTATTATTTCCTAGGTATTCGCTCTGTGAGCTTCTATGAACACATAGTGACAGTAGGCACTGGCCAAGGTTCCCTGCTCTTCTACGATATCAGGGCCCAGCGTTTTCTGGATGGCCCATCCAGCGCACCCGGCGGGTACCGGAATCGCACAGCAGAGGGCATCCTTAAACTCTCCACAGGGAGAGGATGGCTGGTAAGATTGTCCATTTTGACCCTGATTCTCTCTGCCTTGCATGCTGAAATTTTATATATTTTTATTTTATTTTATATTTTACATATCGATTAGACTAATATATGTATCTTTTATTTGATGTAGGCCATTGTTTATTATTATATTTTACATACATTAGAGCTGCATGAATCCGGAAAAATTTAGTTAAAAAAAATAAAGATCAAGATTCTCCCACGATTCTGAACAGACAACTAAAACAAAAAACATGTAATTTACTAGAGGTTCTTACTAAATGTTAGTTGCTGCAGTCTATTTAAAAGTGTTTAAATAAATGATTCAATGACTCTTAAAGACTTCACCTGAATGATTCAATGTCAAATACATTTTTAACAGTCATTTGTTGCCACCTATTGGCTTACCGTAATTATGTAATTGATATAATCTTGTCAAGTTACTTTCAAAAGGTGATTTACTCGATTTTGTTCACTACTGTAAACATTAGTGTTTGTATCTGAACTATAAACTTATCTCAGTACTTCTGTGATCTCAGCAAGGCTGCATTTCTTTGATCAAAAATACAGTAAAACCGTAATATTGTGAAATTATTATTTAAAATATTACAATTTTGATACATTTTAAAATGTAATTTATTCCTGTGATGTCAAAGCTGAATTTTCAGCATCATTACTCCAGTCTTCAGTGTCACATGATCCTTCAGAAATCATTCTAATATGCTGATTTGCTGCTAAAGAAACATTTATTCTTATTATTATCAATGTTGAAAACAGTTGTACTGCCATATATTTTGTGGAAACCATTATACTTATTCTTTATAAACATATTTATAGATTAATAAAAAGTTCAAAAGAGCAGCATTTATTTGAAATAACATTATACTGTGGAGTGCAGTAAGTGAGGAGACAAGAGACGGAGATGCGTCGAGTCAACTTTACTATCCACTTCAATAATTCTATCACACAGTACAGCGAGTGATATCAAAACAAAACACAACGTCAAAAAACGGAAATCGTCATCGACTAACCTCCCCTTCCTTAAAGGTACAGTCCCTTGGTGAATGTCTCTTTCAGACTTCCTTGTGGGTCACTACACAGGCCCCCCCAGAATTCACCCATAAACAGGGCCAGGCTGAACATGTACCCCAAATTAAACATGTGACACTATGCACTAGTGCAAAATAGAACAGTCCAGCACATAACAGTCCCTCCAACAAAGTCAACGTACAGGGGGGCGGACTGGGCGGCCATAGCGGCTGCGCTTAACAGTAGAGGGGCCAAGGGCAAGGGGCGGGGCAGGGGCAGGGGTCGAGGTTGCCGCAGGTGGGCGCCCTCGCCGTGGGGGCAGGGCCAGCTGAAGCGGTTCGCCAATATCCACATGAGCAGGCTTGAGACGGTCAATAGCCACCCGCTCAGGCCTGCCCCCCATATCCACAACAAAGTTCTTAGACCCCCCCACCAGGACACGGAAGGGCCCATCGTATGGGGGCTGCAGCGGTGTCCGATGGCCATCATGGCGGATGAAGACATACTTGGCTGATGGTAAATCCTTGGGCACATAGGACCGGGGAAGGCCATGGTGAGACGTCGGAATAGGAACAAAAGCATCTGCAATGTCCCGAGATGCAGCCCGATGTGAGGCAACTGACCACGGGGCCGTGGCATCTGGAAGAAACTCCCCCGGAACACGCAGAGGCTGGCCATACACCAGCTCGGCCGATGAGGCTTGAAGATCTTCCTTGGGGGCGGAGCGAAGGCCAAGCATAACCCATGGGAGGCGGTCAGCCCAGTCGCTGCCCGTAAGGCTGGCCCTGAGCGCGGCCTTCATGTCACGATGAAACCGCTCGCACAATCCGTTGCTCTGTGGGTTATAGGCTGTGGTACGGTGGACCTTCACCCCAAGGACCTCGGCGACCGCAGACCAAAGCTCCGATGTGAACTGCGGACCCCGGTCCGAGGAGAGGTCGGACGGTGTGCCAAAACGGGCCACCCAAGCCATAATGAACGCCCGGGCCACTTCCGCTGATGTAGTGGAGGACAGGGGAACTACTTCTGGCCACCTGGTGGTCCTGTCCACCATGGTGAGGAGGTAGGTGTAACCACGGGAGGGGGGAAGTGGGCCCACCAGGTCCACATTCACATGATCAAAACGTCTCTCTGGCACTTTGAAGGGTGCCAAAGGAGCCTTGGTATGACGAGTCACCTTTGCGCGCTGGCACGCCACACAGGCCGCAGCCCAGGCCCTGATGTCCCTCCGCAGTCCCGGCCAGACGAACTTGGCCCCCACCAGCTTGGTAGAGGCCTTCACCCCCGGGTGGGAAAGACCATGGATGGCATTAAAAACTTTATGCCTCCATCCAGCAGGTACCATGGGGCGAGGTTGGCCAGTGGAGACGTCGCAGAGGAGTGTAGCGTTGGCCGTGTCAAACATCACATCTTCCATGAGCAGCGCCGTGGGGGCCGTCCTGTAGGCTTGCACCTCAGAGTCCGCCATTTGATCCGCAGCCATAGCCGCATAGTCGAGGCCCAAGTGGACGGAACCAGCGACTGCCCGGGAGAGGCAGTCGGCGACGAAATTGTCCTTGCCAGCCACGTGCTGAATGTCAGTGGTAAACTCGGAGATGGCCGAGAGCTGACGCTGCTGTCGACCAGACCATGGCTCCGTAGACTTGGCCATAGCAAACGTCAGCGGCTTGTGGTCAACGAAAGCCGTGAACCGCCGACCCTCCAACAGGAAACGGAAATGACGGGTGGCAAGGAAAAGACCCAGGAGCTCCCTGTCGAAGGCGCTGTACTTCCTCTCATTGTCCCGGAGCTTCCTGCTGAAAAAGGCCAGCGGCTGCCAGGCCCCGTTCACCCACTGCTCACACACAGCCCCCACGGCGTAATCAGAAGCGTCCGTAGTAAGAGCAACTGGGGCGGTCGGGGACGGGTGCGCCAGCAGAGCAGCGTTGGCCAGCGCAGTTTTGGCAGCATCAAACGCATCAGCCATCTCTGGGGACCAAGCCAACACGTCCACCGGTCTCCTACCCCGCAAAGCGTAGTACAATGGACGCATGAGCTGGGCCGCACGGGGGAGGAAACGGTTGTAGAAGTTCACCATGCCCAGGAACTCCTGCAGGGACTTCACAGTGCGTGGGCGTGGAAAACTGGCGACGGCCTCCACCTTGGCAGGGAGGGGAACTGCCCCCTGTGGGGTGACGTGGTGGCCGAGGAAATTGATGGATGACCGGCCAAACTCGCACTTGGCCGGGTTGATGATGAGGCCATGCTCACTGAGCCGGCCGAACAGCTGCCGGAGATGCGTCCGGTGGTCGTCTGCGGACGCGCTGGCCACGAGAATGTCGTCCAAGTAAACAAACATGAATGGCATATCTCGCAGCACCGAGTCCATGAGACGCTGAAACGTCTGCGCTGCCCCCTTGAGGCCGAAAGGCATCCGTAGGAATTCGAAAAGGCCAAAGGGTGTGATGACTGCTGTTTTGGGGACATCCTGTGGGTGGACAGGCACCTGGTGGTAACCGCGCACCAGGTCCACCTTTGAGAAAATGGTGGCGCCGGCTAGGTGGGCGGAGAAGTCCTGGATGTGCGGCACTGGGTACCGGTCGGGTGTGGTGGCATCGTTCAGGCGACGGAAATCTCCACAGGGACGCCATCCGCCATCAGCCTTGGTCACCATGTGCAGGGGGGACGCCCACGGGCTGTTGGAGCGGCGCACGATGCCGAGGTGCTCCATGGTGGCGAACTCCTCCCTGGCGATAGCGAGCTTGGCAGAGTCGAGGCGCCGGGCTCGTGCGTAGACTGGGGGGCCCACCGTGGTGATGTAGTGCTCCACGCCATGCTTAGCCACCGCCGATGAAAACGTGGGTGTGGTGATGTCAGGGAACTCAGCAAGTAGGCGTTGATACAGGTCCCCGTTGGCCAGCGTGTTCGACAGACAAAGCGCCCCTGTCCCTCCCAGCGTGCAGGGGTACGAAGCAAAAGAGAGGGCATCGATCAGGCGGCAGTTTGTAACATCCACCAACAGTCTATAAGCGCAGAGAAAATCCGCCCCCAGGAGCGACGTAGACACAGCTGCCATGACGAAGTCCCAGCCGAAACGCCGCCCGCCGAAACACACTTCCACATGCCTCGTGCCATAGGTACGAATGGGTGTGCCGTTAGCAGCGTCCATCGGGGGGCCGTGCCCGCCAGCCATAGTGTCCACAGGCTGCGCCGGCAGGATGCTGCGCTGAGCCCCAGAATCGACCAGCAGCCGCCGGCCGGACAAGGTGTCAGTGATGAATAACAGCTTGCAGTCACGGCCAGCGCCCATAGCTGCTAATGAGCGCCGGCCCTGGCTTTTCCCTGGGCTCCGAAACTGCAAGGCTGACGACACTGCTTGGCTTTTGCCCCAAACCTGGAATGGTAATAACACCACCCGTCCTCACGCTGTCGGCGGGCCGTCACAGCAGCTGCAGTGTCTGGGTCGTCCTCCGAGGGTGGAACAGACGTGCGCTGGGTGGGCAGCAGTGCATGGACAAACTGCTGTCGGTTGGCGAGGAATATCCTGTCTGCCTCCACAGCCAGTGCTCGGTAGTCCCTGGAGGAAGGGAGGGGGGAACTAGCCAGTGCGGTGCGCACGGGTGCTGGAAGCTGCCGCAGGAATATGTGCGCGAAAAGGAACGAGGGATCCGCCGCGCCCAGCACCGCCAGCATCCTCTCCATTAACTCGGACGGCTTGCTGTCGCCAAGGCCGTTCAGGGACAGCAGGCGGTCTGCCTTTTCCAGTTCTGACAGTTCAAAGAGGCTCAACAGGAACGTTTTAAGTGCGTCGTACTTGCCGTCAGCTGGAGGAGCCTCTAACAGCGCCATAGCCCTGGCCGTCGTCGAGGCATCTAAGGCCGCTACCACGTGGAAATACTTTGTAACGTCCTGTGTTATTCCTCTCAGCTGGAACTGTGCCTCGATGTGCTGAAACCACGGCCGTGGATTGTGCTGCCAAAAGTCCGGTAACTTGATGGTGGCTGCGTAGATAGCGCCGACATTAGCCGCGCCGCTAGCAGCGGCCGGCGCCGCGGCCGCAGCGTTTTCACCACCGTCGTTGTGTGACATAATTCAGCCGTGTTCAACTCGCGTCGGGGGTCACCAATGTGGAGTGCAGTAAGTGAGGAGACAAGAGACGGAGATGCGTCGAGTCAACTTTACTATCCACTTCAATAATTCTATCACACAGTACAGCGAGTGATATCAAAACAAAACACAACGTCAAAAAACGGAAATCGTCATCGACTAACCTCCCCTTCCTTAAAGGTACAGTCCCTTGGTGAATGTCTCTTTCAGACTTCCTTGTGGGTCACTACAATACATATCTTTAGTTACTTTTGATCAGTTTTTAGCCATCCTTGCTGAATAAAGGTATTAATTTGTTTAAAGAAAGTCTAACTATTACCAAACGTTTTAAATTAAATCTGATACCTAAACAATTATTGTTTTGCATTTTGAACTTTCATACTCATTTGATGTACATGTAATATTGCTATTTTCTTCTTTTGCTTTCTACACCAACCCACTACCTAATTTTTACCATGGGCAAACCTTGCAATTAATTAGTCTATATATAAGCTCCTTTACAAAGTGCTTACTTTAGCAGTCGGTTGCCTGCAGCATCAGCCTCTGCTTACCATATGGAAGTTCATTAAGCAGAAATGCTGTCTGCTGCATTAATCAGGAGTCCACATGGAAGTATAACTGCTATTTGATTGGTTTAATTGACCCACTTAATTTGCTGTTCTTTTGAACTTTCTATTCATTAAAAAAATCCAAAAAAAAAAAAAAAAATGCATCACAATTTTCCCAAAAGTAGCAGCACAACTTTTTTCAACATTGAATAATAAGAAATGTTTTCACAAAATCAGCATATTAGAATGATTTCTGAAGGATCATTTGACACATAGAGTTGATTATGATTTCACTTTTTTAACTTTAGTAAGTGTGTAATGTTTGCTATCTGCAAAGTTACAACGCTCAAAGTTCAAATCAAAGGGAGATGTTTGCTTTTAAAGAAATAGTTTTTTACTGTTTATACTGTGTTTTTTATCAAATAAATGCAGCATCAATGAACATAAAAGACATCTTTCATTTAACTTGAACCAACATTTAAAAATATCTTACCGACCCCAAAATGAACGGTAGTGTATGTATATTTATTGAGGCTGAAATAATATCAGAAACGCAAAAATATCAGTCCATATCAGTCAGGTTCTTGTACCGTTTCTAAAATGCAGATTCTTCTCCCACAGAATCACGATGAAACGTGGAGAAGCTACTTTTCCGACGTGCGCTCCTTCCCGAACGCCGTGTACACACACTGCTACGACGACTCCGGCACCAAACTCTTCGTGGCCGGCGGACCCCTGTGTTCTGGCCTACACGGAAACTACGCCGGCCTCTGGAGCTAACCTCCGTCCATCATCCCTCCATTTCGCTCTCACGTACCATGGGCTTATATGCCATCTTCCATTTTTCTCCTCACTCTTTTTTACTTTCAGTTTAGCTTCTATCCAAGATCATCCTCTATTTCTCAAAGGACTCAGGAGCATAGATGTGATTCTCAGCTGTTTTTTTTTTTTTTTTGTGCTTGTTCTTCTGTCTTTAAATTTTCATTTGCCTATTGTACTCCTGAATTTACATCTGTTTTTGTGTGTGGCGAAAAAACGGCAAAGAAAAAAGCAGAGATGTGACCCTGGCTGATGTCTGATCTCCTGGAGAAGTTTGTTTGAGTCCTGAAAAAAATGGAGGAGGTTTTCTCTTCTGTGCATTGGCTGCCTGAACCTTTGAGAACTGTGGAATAGTGTAAAAATATATGGAAATATTTAACAGTCTCGCTGGGCATTACGCTTAAGATTTATTTTTGTTTCGTTTGCTGGTTTTTTAAAAAAATTTTTGGTTGCTATAAACATGGCGTGTTGAGTTTTTGATGTGTGATTTTCAAAGACCTGCTGATCAGCCCTCTTTCTTGGCTCGCAGTGGACTGACATTGTGCATCCTGAAAAGGCTAAGAATCGGCATTTGGAGATGAATCTTGGTAAATTGAACGGACAGCCTGACCTGTAACCTCACTGTGCAGTACTGGACACTGGAGTCAAGACTGCACATATATGAAGAGCACGGAGTAAACATGGACATGAATCACATAGTGGTCAATGAAGACTCGCCCGTTGTTTTCATTTTTCCCTTATGTTTTCCAAAATAATGGCAGGGAGAGACAATTGAAGGAAATCAGATACAGTTTGTGTTCTGTTGGAGGTATCTTGCCGAATGCCTCTTTTATTGCTGATTCTGAACTAACGCACGCACACACCCGCATCAAGATTGCAATTTTCCCTCTGTGACATTTAGACATCTTATTTATTTTGTATTGTTGCCATCACTAGCACTCATGACGTTCAGGTACAATCATATTTGTTAGGATTGTTGCTTCTTATCTTCTCTGCTCAAAGGCAGGGCAGTATTGTGTGACATTGTTGCCTTTCCAGAGTCTTTCTGTGAAAGACTTTTGCAGATTGAATTTGTTTAGGCTTTTCTTTTTTCTTTCTTTTTCTTTTTTTCTTTTTCTTTTTTAACATGAAACTTTCATGAAATTGTTAGTACAATGACCACAGTAACAGGCATATATTAAGCAGAAATTAACCATCACTTTTAAAATGTATTTTATATATAAAATGTATATGTATACATATTTGGAATCTAATAGAGGGAGAATACAGTTTATGTAAATGTCAGAGGATATATGTGCGTGTGTGTGAGTGAACTAATCTGTCATTATTTTGGTGGTGCCCTTTTTTATACACACTTCCTGAATGTTTTTACAGATTACCGAAGTGTAAAGATATTGTACAATATAAAAACAAAACAAGCAAAAGAACAGTAACATGAGACATTCTTCAAAAAGAAAATGAATAAAACTTTATTGATGTATTTTTCTTCCATTCTGGCTTTGCATCATGATGTGTCTTTATGCTGAAGACTTTTAAAGCTTTTAATATCAATTTATAATTCAATTTATTAAAAAAAGATTATATATTTATATATTATTTATTATAATGTTTTTTTGGGCCATTTTGTGAGGAACACTGCACTGTAGTGATTCATTTGACCGCGGGGGGTGCAAATCGTATTGTGACCTATGATTGTGACCATAGGTTGTGACAGAATGCTCGTTCACGATAATGATCTGTAGGGACCCGCAATACAATCACTCGATACAATAAAGCATCATTCAATAGATGAAGAGAGGGACAACTTTTATTTTAAACTCCATACGCATAAAGAATATATCCTTTCAGAAATGGATTAGTGAGAAATGGCGAGTAATAATGACAGAATGATCCTTTAAGATGTTATACAATTTATGAATTGCATTTTAATTCATTACTCGTATATTGTTAAAGTGTGTTGTTTGTATAAGTTGTTGTGTACGTGTGCGCGCACTTGTGAATGTGCCTGCTGGTGCGGGAGCGCGCCTCTATTCTGCATGGAGAGAATCGGCAGCAGCGGTGACGGTCACGTGACGGAGTCTGCTGCTGGCTGAGTGAAGCGTGTTAGCAGGTAATAAAAAAAACAAATCTCTCTTTCAGACTGTTTTTTTTTTATACATCAGATGTTACGTAATAAATATTTCTATTTCTTTGTCGCTCATCTGTTTTAATCCGTCGCTGACTGTTTTTCGAGGTTATGTTGCCGTTTGTATGGCTTTGTTTTTCCTCAGTTTAGCTTATTCGGCTGTAGCTCTGTTGTGAGACCGTTTTCCTCAAATATTCCTTCACAACAAGCCCGTATCACTATAAAGCCAATTTTTTTTACATTAAAACATCATATTGATATACATCTTGGTGTTTAAATGCTCATAAGGGTTTAAATGTTATGAACAAGGACGCCGGGCGGTCGTGAGTTAGCCCGCTAAGCTACAACAATTGGAGAGAGGAAATGACATTAGAGATCATGGACAAAGGAGAGCAGAGACTCTATGCGCTTATGCTCTTCACAAACTCAGTTTTTGCACATTCATGGCGTCAAAAAGATGCCACATGTAACTTAAATGTATCCGAACATCTCTAATGAATCTGTAAAGTTAAACTAGGATGCTGACCCTGGTCCTGGGTCTAAATTCCCTTTGTTTGAGCCGTCACATATATATTTTTTAACCTTGTTATGTTTATGCATGTCGTTTTTTGGGGGGTGTATGGAACATGGTTATAGAAACTCAGAAAGCAAACAAAGTCATCTGTTCATGTGCTTTGATTATGGTCGTTTGTTTAAAGTTTTCTAATGTGAGCGAGCAGCCGCCATGTATTTTGTTTTGATTGGGAATGTTTCTTGCAATTTGTCAATAGTTGCTAATTTTATAGATTTTATTAGTGTTAGAAACTGAAAAAGTCAAACCAAGTTATCTGTTTTAGTGATAAACCAATTATTTGGCTGATATTTGGCCATTTAGAGATTATTGACATTGGCCAATAACTATGCTCATTTGATCAGTTAACTGAAGTGGTATTATGCTTATGTTAAAGCTAAAAAAAAAATATATATATATATCAAAATCTATTTCAAAATTCACATTTTGGTGCATTTTGGGTGAATGTTGTCAATGTTCATTAACCCCCCAACCCCCCGATTTGCCCCATTCTATTTTTAAATGTAAATTTTCATCTTCATAATCATTTCTGTTTAATTATGGATCACTAATTATTCCATTGAGCTACCTATTCCTAATCAAAGATGAAACTGATTGAAATATCTGTGAGTTTTTTGGCTTATCAATCTGCATTTCTAAAAGTGCTTTATATACACAATATCTGTGAATTCGAGGACACTATGGTTGGTCTGCTGACCAAGAGAAAGGCTTTGTTTTTCCATTTTGTAAGGATCTCAGAAATGTCCCCACATGAGACCATTGTCAGCTGGTGGAATCACTTTTGTGGGTTGTTTTGCATGCTGTCATCATTAAATCGTTGGTGACCAGCAGCGCTTGCCCAGCCAGTTTCACCCCAGTAAGATCTTTATTAATGTATGTATTTTGCAAGCTGGGAATTCTTGCTGGATATTATCTGATGATCTCTATACTTCAGAATCTAGCTGGAACGTTGTTGTCGGGCGTTTTCTGTGTGACTGCGTACTGCGTAGAAGGATTAAACATGCACAATAAGATCTCTTCTAGCAGCCAAGAAAAGCCCACTGTATCCATCACAGATGTTATGTGTGTTGCCTTGTCTTCTGTGTGAGAAGTGATTCTTGCTGATGTTTTAGTCTTTAGTTTCATGGATGTGAAGAATCTAATGTACTGTAGTGTCACAAGTGAAGTCTTTAATTTGGTGGAAAATCATCTAAGAAGGTTTTTCAGGAATAGCTCAGCCAAAAATGAAAATCCTGTCATTTACCCATGTCATTCCAAACCCATTTGACGGATTTCTTTGGAACACAAAAGCAAAAATTTAGCATACATCCGCTCTTTTCCTTGCATAGAGAAAGAGGACAGTGGTATCCAAAAATCATTTTAAAAGTATCATAAAAACTCTATTTTACTTGTGCCTATATTCCAAGTCTGTCGAAGCCATATGATTGCTTTGTGTGAAAAACAGACCAATTTTTTAATTATAATCCATTAAAAATCTACTTCCTATCCATTAGGGCTGGGCGATGTGACGATATTATCATATAACGATATCTCACGAGTGCCCTGATGTCGATTTCAACTGTCAGTTGCCAGATGTATTTTACATAGCCCCATAGTTACCGTACGCATCTATTTATTTTTTTGACCCTTTTTGAGACTACACAATTAAAAACATCAACCCTCTACGGACACACAGCTCGAGTTGCCATTGGCTAGTACATTTTTTATTTTACTCACCAAAATTTTTACTTGAAATGCAAGAACAATAAAAAGTCAAGTAAACTGTCAGTCTGTAATAAAATAAGAACAAATAATCAAACTATAGGGAATAGCACAAATAAACACACTAGAACAAAGATGCAAATTAAATAAACAGTTCTTTTCAGGTTTTACATGTAGATCAAACAGTTGTTCGATACAGATTAGGTACAGAAATTGAATAAAGTAGGCTAATCAAATGTAAAATAACACTGCATAGTCTTCACTATATAAATGAAATATAGATGAATCCTTATTAATGTTCCAAAAGTTATTCAGTCAAGAGCATTAAGTGATTAATATTTTTTTGTCTGTTGCTTGATTAACATTAAAAACACAGACAGCAGGAATAATAGGCTGCTGTCACTTTAAGACAATGCATGGATCCAATATATTGATACTGTTACACATGCGTTTTCTTTCTCCACTGTTTACACTCAAGACATAACCGACTATGTTTAATAAGATAGTCGCCAAGACGGACATTTTGACAATTTTGTCTTAATTCAGAAGTGGCTTTCTGGACGCGCGCTTCGGATGTGCAGTTTGAGCAGACAAAACTTCTCACGCAGCGTAAGTGACTTGTCTTTAGGGTCGTTTTGCGCTTGAGTGATTAAATTGGCAAGGCTTTAAAATGCGTGCAAATGATAAAATTTCATGACGACGCAGCACTGGTCAGATTGAGACAATGAAAGTTCTGCCAACGAGCCCTGTAGTCGTGCTCTCTTTATCTCACAGTGAGTGCACATGTGTGTGAGAAAGCGACAGCCCTCCAAGCAACGGTACGTAAAGCTCAGCAGGCAATGGAACTTTTTTTTTTTATTTGCCTCAAGCTCAATTACAGGCAACTGTAATCATA